TTTAAGTAAGTTCCTTTCATATTGTCTGATAAGCTTAATCACATTATCGTTGAAAGACGAAAGGAAAACACCATATTAATACACATTTAAATCCATTCTAAGCTTACACCTTACACAAGCCAATATCAAAGATGACAATTTCAATAAATCAAACAACACACAGATGAAACAACAATGATAGTCAGCCCTTGCTGCAAGAAAACTTCCAAGTAACAACAAACTCATATATTCAAGATGCGGAAGTGAAAATTGCGTCGCAGCTCGTGATGTCACACATGACTTCGCGAGAGTGAAAAACAAGAAGTATTAAGTATGAGAAGCTGTTGGTATAAACAAATGGCTTCTGTTATAAATTATAGGCATTTAAGGATATTTGTGGAGATTTGTGCAGTTGCCTATGCTAAAACACAAAGCTCTTTGGTAAGATGAATAGTGAATAGGAACACTCTGACTGGCGTTTGTTTACATTCATAAAAACATATTGTTAGAATTAGCAGTTTTTCTCTGCTGAGGGCTGATGGCTTAGGGGTAGAAACTACGCCTGACACCAATTCGGTTGGGTTTCAATCCTGGCTTGAGGCTTTTGGACATCTAGTCACACTGACAAGCTGTGATACAGCACAACAGTACTGTCATGAATGACATATATATATATATATATATATATATATATATATATATATATATATATATATATATATATATATTGGAACTTTCTTGTGTTGATTTCAGTATATGTCCTCTGGCAATTAAGAAAGAACTTTATAATAATATCTGTAAAATCTTTAAAAATGACTGATGTTGTGATTCTGGGGAGAAAATGAAAATATATAGTGAAAGTTTTACAAGATTTAAAAAAAATTGGTTTAACATATAGAAAAATGTAAAATTAAATCTGATATGATTCTTTGTCTATATTTGTTTAATATCTTGCAGGCATTTCTTTGCAAGTAAAATTGCATTAAAAACTTAGATTTGAATGTTTCTCTATCTACAGTGGTCAATAATTAAGTCCATAGCTTTATGAAGCAAAAACAAATTTATCGGACACAATAAATACTGATTTTCAGCATAATTTCTTTCCTTGTCAATGCACTTCATCCAATAGTGAATATTAATAGCATCCAGTAAACAATATTCAGTAAAACTTTCAGATCAAAATTTAGCTTATAACTAGGCTCTGACCTTATAGATCCAAATTCATATATAATTACTTTTCAAACTTTGTCTGGCACAATGACATATTTATGGGTATCTTCTAAAGCTCAAATAATTCCACTTGCAAAGTGATTTATGAGTCAAGGTTGCTATCCATTATAGTCCAGTTATGTTTCTTCCTCTGATGATAATAATATCTATTGATATACAAAAATTTGATTATTTAAGTTATGCCATAGCAAACAAAATTTTTGTTAATAAAGTTCTCAACAGCTATCTAGAGCAATAATTATTATATTAAAAGTTCACAAGATTAACTTTGAATTTCACAATGATTCTCTTTTTAGGGCCCAGATTGTAAAATGTAAATGCAGAAAATTTAAAAATTTTATTAGCATATATAATAAGCATTATATATTTATACTAGCAGTAGAGCCCGGTATTGCCCGGGGATATAACAGTAAGAGATAGATCAAGTATCCACCATCATAAAGACTGAAAAATAAAATTGACAAAGATTATTGTTTAAGGTTGACGGACACGCATGTCTGAATTAGTTGTTTTTTTTTTGTTTTGTTTTTTTACGAATTGGTCAAACCCAAACTCAAACAAAAACATTGTTTTCAATCGTTATGAGTCTCTACCGATTGAATAGAATTTTATTATAAACAATTGTCTTGTAAATGGAATTTTTAAAGCATTCTGAATGTAAAAATAAAGAAAAAAGTGTGCAAGACAATTATAAACACTACATGCCAAAAAAAAAGTGAAGTTTTGTTGAAATCGGTTGAAAAATGTAGGTAGCCTTTCTGTAATCTTTTAGTTTTACAATTTTTGATTTTTACTTATTGAATACAGTAAAAAAAATTGCATATTTTGCTTGTGGTGATTCATAATTAGAATTCTGATTTGAATATATTTTCCATTCATTGTTTCTAATACAAAAAATATTAACTTTATTTGGGTTTATTAATTATGATCTAACAAATCTTATTCATTTAGTAGCCTTTCTGCAATAATAATCTTTTACAATTTATGATTTTTACTTATTGAATACAGTAAAAAAATTGGACACCATGTGTATTTAAAGTAGTTTCTCGTTTCGGTTATTATTTTTAGTTAGGACTTGTGTATGTTTAGATTTCATTATCTTTCCCTAAAGATAAAGAATTTATCCGATGTTTGTATTCGTACAATCAGTAGAGATCGTTAGATTATTGTTTAAGGTTGACGGACAGGCATGTCTTAATTAGTTTTTTTTTGTTTTTTTTTACGAATTAGTCAAACCCAAACTCAAAAACAATCGTTAAATTGAATAGAATTTTATTATAAATAATTGTCTTGTAAATGAAATTTTAAAAAAAATATTAAATATAAATATTAAAAATAAAAAAAAAGTGTCTAAGAGAATAAGAAACACTACCTGCAAAAAAAAAAAAAAAAGTGAAGTTTTGTTTTATCGGCTGAAAATATAGGAAATCCGCTCCCATATTTAAAGGAACCCCACACACAAACAACCCGATGTGAGTTGTCCTTTCCATTTTCATGATGTCTCTTAATCATGTTTTCAAATTGATTTTGTGCAAAAAACAATTATATTTTTCCCATTTTGGCGCTGTTAGAACCACCACAAGGTAATTTTATGTAGTCTTGTGAAATTTTGTTGAAATCGGTTGAAAAATGTAAGAAATCCAATCCATATATAAACGTTACAGACACACACACACACAATCACACATAATAAGATAAATATATATATATTTTATAATATATATATATATATATATATATATATATATTATATATATATATATATATATATATATATATATATATATATATATAAATATATATATATATATATATATATATATAATATATATATTTATATATATATATTCAATATATATATATATTAAACATCATCACTTGATAAGACACTGTGGGTGTTGAAACAAAATGGCTATTTTTGTAGTGATTTTATAACATAATTATGTTAAAAAAATTTTTTTTTTAAATAATTATATATATATATATATATATGATGGACTCTCCCATCATTTTCAACGTATGAGTGTCTTTGAGTTCAGTTTTTATGTTTATGTTTTGTATGAGACAACAATCCTGCATTGGATTTGCAAACAAATCCATATGAAGGGCATACTGAAGGGTCGACTGTCATATGGGCTGATGTATCAGCCTGATATTTAGTGTTAATTCTTAATTCTCTCAAATAGTTGAGACATTTCTTTTTCAAAGTTGGTTATTCCCCAGTATTTCTCCAGTTGGTTTAGTTTTCAACAGCAAGTTTGAACTCCTCCACAGGGATGTTTGCAGCAGTTAAATTGTATTTAAGTTTATCCTTGAAGCATAACCAAGGATGGCCTATGTTACGCTTACCATAAAAAAGTTGGCTAAGCTTGAGGATTTTTGGCATCCGATCATCACTCATTCTGATGACATGACCAGCCCATTTGAACTGTGATTGCATCAGAAAGGATGCAATACCACTGACTCCATATTTGATGAAAAGATCAGGGTTAGAGATTTTGTCCTGCCATGTATAACCATATATTGAACGAAGATAGCGCTTTTTGAAAAGCATCATGTTGATTGATGTGTTACTTGGATTCTGAAGTATGAAACTATTGCAAAACTCTGAGTCAGTTTTCAAAAAGTATCATGAAATTTCAATATCTAAGTTGCTAATGCAATTTTACTTACAAAGAAATACCTGCAAATGTGAATATGAACTAAATAAAGAGATATTACTAACTGTATATGCATGTGATAGCATGCATACACCGATAAGCAAATAAATATTTACTTAATTTAATTTATGGTGCAAACAAAACAGTGCTCAATATCGTTAAACATAGCTATAAAGTATATATTAATAAATGCATATATGCCTATGTTTGTAGTGCAATGTAAAGTTTCATGGTTTCCCAAGTCATCAGGCATTAATGGTGAATGAACCACTTAATACAGTTGTTTTTTAAAAAGTACTGCATCTCATGGGAGGAATGCTAAATTATACACAGATTTAAAGTTAATATAAATTTAATGAATTTTTTTTCCTAACAGAAAATTTTGTACCATATAAACTTGAAGCATGAACATTTTTCTTTTTTGCTTTCCCAATATCTCTCTCCATATAATCCATATTTTGAATGTATATCTCAATAATATATTAAGTTTTATATTAACTCTGAGCTTTGAATCTGTGTATAATTTAATGTTCCTCCCATTGAAACCTAGTATTTTTTAAAAAACAACTGCAATAAGTGTTTCATCCACCAGTTCATGCATGACAAATGTAGGTGTGTGTATATATATATATATATATATATATATATATATATATATATATACTAGCAGCATGGCCCGGCGTTGCCCATGCTTGATTCGAAAATTGTACGACTCATACAGCAATCACTATCACTTGACTTAAAATATTTTTGCCCTTCCTTGCCTTTAAAGGAGTTCCCTTTACCATGCTGATGTTGCCTCATGCCTTACTTCTTGCCTATCTCATACTGCAAATTTTTTCTAAGCTCTATACTAAACATTAAATCTGTTACGAAAAAAGAACTAAACAAAATGAACACAAAATGATCAGCTTTAAAAAAGGACTCGTAACTGGAAAAAGCGAATGAAAAAAGAATGTTAACAACATACTTTTTCACACCCAACCCAGTTTCCTGAAATATTGAGACTGGTCATACTACTATGCGCGATTCGATAACAATGTCACGTCTGTTGTGCTGATCACTGCTGACAATGACAGAAACTTCGTTACTTGCAGGAGCATTGTAACGATGTTCATGCTCTCCTTGAAATCATTTGTCAGCATCAATTACAATAATGAAATCAGAAGAAGTGTTATTTTCAAGAGCATACTTAAAACTGCGGACATAGCTGTTTGTCTCGTGGAGCATTTGTTGGAGATTCATTATGATATCCCTGCGAGGATAATTGTCCTGGCCTTTATCGTTCTCGGGAATAATGCCCATGCGGGCATCTGCCCATTGATTGTAGTCAGTTATGAAGTATATTTGTAGAAAGGTCGAATCAGTGTCAGTTTCCGGTAAAAGAGACCCGATCCGGTGGTAAACCTGACCTTGAACCATGAAGGTGGGATTCCAACCGACTTCGCGGAAGGCATTACCATCAAAATAGGTAATCTGGAAGGCACAATTGTACTGTCTGATTTTTGCGAGGAAATGTTTGGAGTCTGGACTGGAACCCTCCAACAGAGCTTTCAATGGCGCAGGTAGCTCTTGAAAAGGTGGCAACTGTACGTTACCGTCTGAACAACACAAACCTGCAGACTCTTCAGGCCATTTTTTGGCATTGCAATGCCCACAGACAACTGACATGGATCCTATTTGGATGCTTTTTCAACCGGAAAGCCTCAAACCTGTCTCATATTTGAACGCCAGCTTAAACCAAACCTGCAACCATTCAAGCCTTTCAGTAGGTCCTTCTACAGCTCTAGCAGCGGAAGTTGAAATTGCATTGCGTTGCCGCCTTGTGCACTTTTGCACGGAACTTTCCGACACCCTTGCAACAGAAGTTGCAGCGGCGTCGGCTGCATGGCATGCAGTTTTCTCAGCCATGGATTCCTGGGACCGTTGAATGGACGTTGACGCAGCTTTCGTGGCGTTACGTGTGGTTTTCTTAGCCGTGGTCTCCTGGGACCGTCGAATGGAAGTTGCAGCGGCGTTGGCTGTATTGCGAGTAGCTTTTTGATGCGGGCTCTGTCGAGACGGCAAAAGCGCTTGTGATGAAGCCGCTTTTTTGTTGTCTTGCAAGCGTTTAGGTAGTTTCCTCTTACTTTTCAACGAATATGCGTAAACTGATTTGCAATACAAACGGTAGTTACGCTCACCAAGCGTTTCATGTGACAAAACATACTGCCTCCGTTGAGATTGACTGGAAAGCCTCAAAGAGGCCTCTACCTCGGTTTCCTCTTCCCACTTTCTCTGGGCCACGTAGTAAAGGCAGAAGAGAAGTAACTTGTGACAGCAGTTAACTGTCTAATAGCAAAACTGAACTACGAAAAAGTAGAAATAGGTATGGAATGCTAAGATGGACTGGGCTGTGCAGTAAAGCCAGCACGCGGAGATAAAATGGGTAATGCAAATTTTTAAGCAAATAGTCAGTGAAGTACTGAGGTGTACTGGGCCACATAGTAAAGGCAGTACACTTCAAATTACAGCGAAAACTGTAATGTGGAGCTAAAATAGGTTGGGCAAACGATTGAGTAAATAAGTAACTTGCAACAGCAGTTAACTGTCTAATAGCAAAACTGAACTATGAAAAGGTAGAAATAGGTATAGAACGCTAAGATGGACTGTGCTGAGCAGTAGAGGGAGCATGCGAAGATAAAATGGGGAATTCAAACGTTTAAGCAAATAGGTAACTTGTGGTAGCAGGAAGCTGTCAATTAATCCAAGGACAGAATGCGTTAATGGGGATAAAATCAAGACGTGAGTGCGAATGCAGCCGTGCTGAAGGTATTTAAAGGGTGCATGACTTGTCATTGATTGGTGTAGCCTGGACAATGAATTAGACCAATAAATGAGCTCACGCAAAATGGAAGATGCTAGCGCGCATTCACGCGTGCGCGCATGATTTGGCAAGCGCAAGACTTGGCTGTAAACGGGGTCAAGTTGCCTGTTGCATATGCAGCTTGGTTCTAATGCATGTGATGCCGGCGATGATAATGCAAGGAGCTGCAATGAAGTGTTTACTCGTTTGGTTTGTGCAACAATGAAACGCCGCTAACCATTTGCCGGCATTAGCTTTGAAATGGATTGGGAGGAAGCCCTGCTGTTTTCCTGCAAAAACTCCTCGTCAGGTCTGAGATGCTAGGGGAAAAGGTTTAAATAATTAGAAAATGGACTGCTGAGGGCGGAACCATTTTCACTCTGCATGTATGAAGTTTTTTTCAGTAAAGACACGAATAAAGGAAGTACTTATTTTGGTAAGATGCGACGATTAAAGCAAAATGGTTGACAAAGTCGAATATGTCATTTGTGGCTCAAAGTCAAACCTGGTAGCAGGGATAAAAAAAATGAATTTCAATGGCCCTGCACCCATTCCAGAATTTGAGGTCAAATGTTTTCTTCCACTCCACTGCACGCATTGACCTGTTTCTTCCTGCGCATAACGTGACCTTAAATTAATCTGCATTTAGGAAATACCCAACCGGAAAAACATTTTTAAGGGTTGACTGATTGTCAATTTGCACTCTGTTTGGGGAGCACTCAGAGTTGAAACTTCACATGGTGACTCCCAATGGCCTCATCATAAATCCGGTCGTTTTTCGCTAAAAGCCGACATGCGGTTTAGGCGCAATCTGGGTGTATGGGTTTTTGGGTTTTATCGATTTTCCAGGCTGTTTAGGGGTCCGTGGTCATGAAACTTCTGGACAACACTTCTAATGGTAGACTCTAAGAGGGTGTCAAATTTGGTTGAAATGCGATCATTCCTTCTGTAAGCAGATTTTTTTCGATTATCGATTTTTTCTATTATCGATTTTTTTCGAAACCTGAGTCTGAACTCAGAAATCGGGCTCCGTCATGTCCTTACGGCAGCCATTTGCAAACTTGTGGTGAAAACCGCATTGAAATCGGGTGAGAAATGCAGACTGGGCAAGGTAACAACACCCACGACAGACACACAGACAGACAACATGAGAAATATAGATAGATATATATATATATATATATATATATATATATATATATATATATATATATATATATCCAATAATGGCATCAAAAATTTCCAGGAATTGATTCTATAAAGGCAGGTAATCTTTAGGAACCTATTCTGCTTATTTTCTTTTGAATCTGAGAATGGAAACAAATCACTTTATAGTATCAAAAAGAATTAAATCATTTTGATAATTGAATATAAAACATTTATTTATCAAGATATTTTCAGATTGAAATTCTGTTCTCGTCATATTTCTGTTCAGAAGTATGTTACTCTTTGATTCTAGTGCCATCAGCTGTGGTTTATGGTTTCTTTGCCACATTCGAACTGAATCACTGCAATCCCAAAGATCAAATGGAAGACCTATCAAATTTATGACTAGAAGATTTACAATAATTTTAAATTCAAGACAATTTCTTTTCTCAAAATAAATTATATTCATCTTAGAAAACTCTCTTTCAGCCTCAACAAAACTTCCAGGAATGGTATCAGCTATTTAGCTATTAAATATCAGCTATTAATACAAAACATTATTTTTGGATAATCCAACAACCACTACACTAAGCTTTTATAATTTTAAGAATTGATCTTCCACATTAGGCCATTTTATCTCTTGCATGATCTATTCCCTTGAGGATTGTATGAAGTAGTCCAGTTTATGGCTACTCCCCATACCAATAGGAATCTTCTTAGTTGGTTGGACATAAAAGTGATCTGTATGAATATAAGCTGGTATTCCAAATATTGAGAACAGTGAGCAAAGACAGCGTATGACCGTTGTTGCACTTACATCTGGACAGGGAAGGGCAAAAGAGAATTGCAAGTACATGCCATTGATAGTAGATATTTGTTTTGGGATTTAAATGGAAGAGGGACTTTAAAGTCAATGCTCAGCTTCTCTAATGTCTGTGTAGCTTTTACTAGGGTTCCCAGTTTGGTTTGTAAAACCTTGGTTTAATTCAAGCCACAAACCTGACAACTATTTGTTATTTATTTCACGTCCTCAACGGAAAAATCAAATTCCAACTTCAAATCACATGAATCATCCTCGTGATGTCTGGCTGGCAGAGATCATTTTAACTTTTTCTAAATCTTTGGTGCTGTTTATTGAGCCACTCTTGACAGCATGTCTGCCATTACATTTTCCTTTCCTGACCAATAGAAAATGTCAAATGAAAAACAGGAAAGCTCTGTCTTCCATCTCACTATTTTTTTCATTTTTTATTTTGCTTGATATTTTGGGATTAAACATAAAAGAGAATGACTTTTGGTCAGTGATTAATTTAAAGCAGTGACCAATCAAGAAATGTTGCCATTTTTTTTAATGCCTCAACTATGGCATAAGCCTCCTTTTTGACAGCTGAATGTCTGCACTCAGATTTTGACAATGTTCTGGAGAAGAATGCTACAACTATTTGAAACTATTAGTGAAAACCAAGATATTTAAACTATTTGTAAAACTAGTTTTAAATTTTTAACTATTTTAAACTGTATTTACAACATTTATTTCTTGTCGAAAATAAATCTATAATTTTTATGAAAATAATAAACATAACTAAAAATTCTTGAAGCAATTAAAAAATTGAAACCAACCCTTAATAAAATTAATTATGAATACTGCACAAATGTTTTAAAATGTATACAGTAGATTGTTTAAAATATGTAAGTTTTAACTAATAGTTTTAAATATTTTTTCTTTTTTTTTCTTTTAAATATTTAGACATTACAATAATTTACCTCCCTTGATGTTTACATGTGACCCTACATGATAAGAATTGTACAGTACATAATCTTAGTGTTTTTCACTTCATACATAAAAATTTAATTTTCAAGACAAGACCCGATGATGACACTTTACTAATGTCAAAAGTACTCAGAATAAAATGAATATGCATCAACAAGGTAATTTTCTTACTTCCTTTAATAAGGATACTAAGAAACTTGTCTGTAATTATGAGAGGGTCCTATTAAAAATAAGTAGACAAAATTTGTCTAAATTATTTAATGAGACATGTCTTAATGAAAACGAGCTGCCAAAATATACACACATATATATATATATATATATATATATATATATATATATATATATATATTTGTTTTGAAAAAAACAGACCACTTTAAGGTTCTATGGAACCTTTAAAGTGGGTCTGTTTTTTATTCAAACATATTTGCTCTGAATTTACATTGAGCCCTCCGGATATCATCCTCCTTGGGTCTACCCATACAGATTATCTAGTTTTGCATAAACTATATATATATATATATATATATATATATATATATATTCATTCAGTTTCATTGAAGTTGACTGACAAGGTACTGCAATTGAGTTTTTTATTTCATTTTTCTTGTGTTTGTATAAGTGTTTTCTTTTCTGGAGATAAAATGTATCAAAATTTTCCAAAATGTCCATATATCTGAGTGCTTCCAGCTATTCTGTTAGCCATTATCAAATATGTTTTTTATTTTTACCTGAATGTCTAGATTTCTTTTTATATAGTGATGAAATGTTTTTATCTTCCAAACATGGTCAGCAAATTGTGGCCATGTTCGTAGTTGATGTTATTGAGTGTTTAGTTTTTTGTCTTTATTATTAGTGCTTACATTATTTTTAGTCTTTTTTTACATGTGGATGGAGCTATTATTCTTGTATTTTCTACCAGTGTATAACTCTGTGTATAAAAATAATTCAATTCCACTTCCATCATTCAAACCTAATATTCTAAAAACAAATTATTGCATGCCTTCTATAAACATAAAGGTAATATTTTACTAAAACTAATGATGTTAGGATGAGAAATCCACCCAGTCCATGCTTGTCTAGCTACTACATGTCTCTTGTAGAAAACAAAGTATTTAAAAAAGTTACTAAACCCAAAATATATGTCTGCTATGTGAGGCACAGTGGGGTAATGGATAGCAGTTTGGATTGAGGAATTGGAGAGCTGAGTTTGAATTCCAGTTAAATTACATTCACTTGTGTGCTAATACCCTTGGGAAAAGTATGAATCCTCTTCTTCTCCCCCCAGCTATGGGTAAATAGCAGGACAAACTGGGTTCTATAGCTTTGAATGGCAACTGGTCTACCGCAGAAAGAAATGGCAACCTACTGCAGGAAAAAATCTGCCTTGTCAGTCATGTATTGAAAGATATATGATTGCCCAAGTGTGTATCACACATGCCACATAACTATGTAGATGTTATTTTTATTTTAACCATAAACAAAAAAGTAATTGATAATCTCAAACCCTCATTTCAAAAAACTCTGTCACTTTCATTCTTAGACATTCTTGTAGAATTTAATAGTAACACATTAACTATTTCGTGATATAAAAAATACCCACTTATAGAAACACTTGCCATCTTAATTTTTTGAGTGAATGTCTACTTAGATATAAAATAAGTGTTATAAAAATTTCCTCAAGAGAGTGCATGAGAATTGATCATCTAGTCTTTAAAGAACTCAATAATATGAAACAGAAGCTAGTTAATAACAGTTTTTCTGAACTACCTCATCAATCACTAAATGAGACTAGTTTTTTCTAAGGTAACCAATAGCAACACTGACCATACAGATAAAAACAATAACATTAACATTTTCTATAAAAGCCAAATACACATTAAAGATGAATTTTCTCTTGGAAATATTATAAAAAAATATACAACCACAGTCAAAAATCTATTATAAAAAATTTAAAACAGCTGAACTTATCATCAGCAATAACAATTCACTTGCAAGATCTAATTTATAGAGAACCAATATTATATATTTATTCACATTTGCCTTAAGGAGAAATGTTCCTGATAAAGTCATATTCATGAATAAGTATACAGGACATACCACTACATGCTTATCAAAAAGACTCACATTACACCTCTCTGACCATAGCTCAATTAGGACCCATATTAACACACATGGAAACCTACCAAACTCTATACTTGTAGAAAATACAAAGATAATAACCTCATTCACATGAAAAAAAGACTAAAAATAATGGAAGCACTAATAATAAAAAAGAAAAAGCCAAACACTCAATAGCATCAACTATGAACATGGCCACAATGTACTCACCAT